AGGGAGTTGATAACAGGGTTTATCACCCCTAACTCAGTGTTTATCACCCCATTAAGAAAATAACAGAGGGACATTACCAGCTACCTGTTGATTCTGCCTTTGTCCCGTCTGCCACAGCATGGACTATAGCCAGCATGTGGTCTGCTAGCTAATGCTGTGTGTCTGTGTAAGACAGAGGGGATAGGGATCCCTGCTTAATGGGGAGTGGTGAGAGGGATGGGGGGCAGAGACCTGGTGCAGGTGCAGATAAGCTACTCTGTAGGTCTGGGAGTTTCTCTGATCTACGTAGCCCCTATCAGGGGAGCTTGGGTACAGCTTTCTCCACCTCTGCCAGAAGATCACTCAGGAAAGAAATGGGATTAGTTCTCAAAACCTATGCTGAATAACTATTCCCTTTTTCCAGCTATGCATTTTAGTAGAAGATTATTGAGACCCCTGTCTGAAACATGTCATAAAAGATGCAAATGCATTATATAGTTAAGTAATACATAAATTACACATTTCAAAAGACACGTTTTCCTACTCTACTGTTGTGATGTTTGTGTGAGCCAAGATGACTCAGTCTCAGGGACCAGACTGGAGCAAATATTTTAATGCTTGTGACTACAAGCTACATGGAGCAGGGCTGAATCAACCAATCAGATTACATGCCTATCCTAGGTGTTATGCCAGTTAAAAAGTCACTGATGGAATATTTAGTCAGGAATCTAAGTTGGCCAGCACAACAAACTACAGCAAAGAGGACAGCTGTTTAAATGCCAACATCTCTGCCACCACTCAGAATTTGGAGTTGAAGCTTGGGAGTACTTTAAAACCCAGAATCTTTAAAGAGGGTGCTGAGCTTACGCTCAAATTCAGTGCAATTGTAGAGATAATGTAGTTTAAGCAAATGTCACTAATTTTATTCTTTTTCTTTTTAGAGCTTGGAAATTGAGCTACAGATGGTGAGGGCTAGGGAGTTTGGAATGGCTATATTGCAGACCAATACAGTTAAGAGAAACATGGAAAGCCAATTTAGAGAAGTTCAGATTTTCAGTTCAGCCTAAAGCTTATATGCAACAACACACTAAGGTGCCTTTACTATTTGGCACATGACTGGATTTTATCTGATCCTATAAAGAGCCTCCTTACAACCCTATCTGGGAGTGATGGGCAACTCTATCCCTTCTTCTTGCCATTGCCTGCAGCTTTATTTGTCAAGTGTTAAACAGCTGTTCTATGACCAAAATATTGGGCACAGAGAGGGATGAGTGCTGGGGTTAGGCGGTGTTCCAAAACTATTCTTATTGCTGCAATCACAAGAATGGTGGCTCCTTGCCTTTCTCCCCACAAAGGGATACACTTCTCAGGGGAAATACCAGGTCATAACATTAAAAACAACCCAACACTACAGAACAGCATCTAGGCATGGCTAGGTAATTATTCAAAAAGTCTTATGAAGTAGATAATACACACTTACCTCCATGTCAAGGACCCTGTGAAATATGGCCTGAGCTAAGCACTCCCGAACATATTTTTGGTGATCCTTCCTCATCACATTGAGACGATATTCTTTCTCTGATATTATTCTTCCACTTCTTGAGATCTGCCATGAATGAATAAAAGGAAAGCATACAGAAAAAAAGAAGATGGAATCTAAACAAACCATGCGCAGAATGAGAGGAAAAATCCTTTGCTATGTACCTATTATAGTCACCTTAATGAAGTTCCCCCCTTAGGTATTAAAACTACTAGTGAGATATAAAATACAATTGAAATGAGCCATTTGCTAATGTATTTTATATGTAATTTTGATGTTTTGATACTGCCTTTTAAAACGATTCAATAATCTAACTTTGTATAATAAAGGCTTACAAATTCTCACAATGAGACCTTCAAATTAATGCCAGAACTAGTGAAAACATTGTTGATTCAACATAAGCATCCAGAAAAATATTGTCTCTAAAATATGAGACACAGTGACAGAGATACTGGTTGAAGCATTACTACGTGGTAATATGGTGCTATTCACATATAATGACTTATTACAACGCTGCCCCAAACTTAGTCCTACACCAAGGTTAGCTACTATTTACACGTAAAATGTAACTAGGGGTCTCCAATACCACAAAGCCATATGGACTGTTGTATTATAACAGGCAATTATGTTTCTTAATACCCCAGTTTCAATAACTACTTCCTTGTGAACCATTCAAGGCTCAGTCAAAAGCAGTTTTATACTGCTGCAAGTATCATTTAAAATTCTCAGTGATCAGACAATTCCCCATGTGGCTCATTAGGAAATATGACATTTTCTTTTCTTTGTCTGAATGTTTCACACTATATTTACAGTGCAGTGTCCTCCCTTTAAGTCTCTGCAATCTACTAATTTAACCTAATACCATTAAATATAATATTAAATAGGGAAAAAGTGAACGAGTTGTAAGCCTATGCATACACACACCATAATTAATATATAGAGATATATAGATATCTAGTAATAGATAGATAGACAGATAGACAGATAATATCTACTGTGTAGGCTTGAGAGTTCATAGCAAGATGGAACCAGTAAACTTTGCTTTATAACCCATATACCCATATTAATAATGAGTGACATTTTTATGGCCCAGTCACACAAAACTATGAGCACCCTCAGCTCTTCTGGTCTCCAATTCTGAAGTATGTCAAGTACTTCCTGCGACATACTAACTGCCTTAAACTCCCACTGGTGTTCCTGAGGCTACTTTGCATGTAACAGACCAGGTCAGGATTAGCCCCTGTACTCTGTTCTATAGGATCATCCCATTTCTAGCAATATAGCTCTGTATCCCTCAACTATTACTATACTTAAAGGATTCCAGATCACATTAGACCCATAGTATGCTAGCTTATTGGCAGGGTTACTAATGAGGTGATGAAAATGCAAAGTGATGACATTACATCATGCTGTCATGGTGTGATTTCATGTGTTCAGCTAGTTGACAAATTTTTGAAAGCAGTGACCTTACCTCTACTAAGGAGCTAAAGTAGGAGTGTCAAACTCAGCCAGTCTCAAATCAGGTCTAGACCACAGGAATCCTTACAGGATGGATCTGAACATGGATTTGGTGGTAGGACAAGCCAAGTCAGCAGTGGGATGAGCAGCAGCATGGAGCTGTAGAGGTTAATACAGCCAACACTCACCTCCCACTAATGGCCCCATCCCCAGGGGAGCTCTGTACCCCAGATGTCAGCAGCAGGCCCCACAGAGCCTGCTGACATAGCTCCATGAGCCAGATCTGGCCTGCAGGCCATGTTTAACACTTTGTGACTACAAAAACTGACAGTACTAAAATCCTTTGGGTAAAAAGGTTGAGATTTGAAACCTACCAGCCCTGATCGGTGGAGATGCCGTCTTATCCTCATATTGCTGAAGTATCCAGTCAAGTGTTTGTCTGTGAGGCTGTTGTAAGTTGCAAGTGGTCTGAAACCAAGAAATGTAGTCACTATGGAGACATTATAAGAAGCCAGGGCTTAATCATTACATTAGCTCTCTTGTCAGTTACAAAGAATCTGCAGTGGACAAGCCTAGGTACATACAGTGCTCTCTTAACGAACTGTCCCAGATGTTTTGTCTAAGAAATCCCTTTAAACGGTGCTAACTCTACAAGAAGTTTACATCTCCTTTAGAAATGCAATGAACCGGCTCTTCACATGCTCCAAAATTAGATAAATATTAACCAATGTTTCCCATATGGAACTTGCTCAAATAATGTTTCCACATGGGTTTTTCTATGTAAGAAATTGTTTATCCATATCCTGCCCATAGCACCAATGAACATTAAGAATTTGAGGTCAAATTTCAGACTGACCACTTGGACCTTGAAAACAGTGAATAGAGACGGGGAACAGTCAAGGACTTAGCTGGAGCTACCTGATCTCATATAATGCTTGGCCCTGGTACAAGTGAGAGTTACAAGGGAATAGCTTTAACATTTGTGGAAGAAAAGGCATCCTCACATTGTTCAGGGCTAGAGACAGACATTACACATAAACCAGTTTAAGTGATCGGAAACTGGTTTAAACCTGTAACAGAACCTGTTCAGTCCATATAAACCAGTTTGAAAATGACTGAAACTCGTTTGAGATAAACATGGTTGAATGTAGTATCAGACTTAATTGATTTGGCTCAAATTGGTTTATGCAATATCTGTCCCAGACCCCTTGCTGGTTTAAGATAAACCAGAGTCCCCCAGCATCCCAGCATGCTCTTGGGCTTGGCAGGGCTCTTTGTTCTACAGTAGGGCTAACACCTCCCCTCTGCATCTGCCTGGCTTCTCCCTGCTAAGCAGGGATTATTCGCCCCAACCCCTCTACTTGACGTAGACACCTTGGCATTAGCTAGCAGACCACATGCTGGCTACAGTCCATGCTGTGGGAGAGACAAAGGCAGACAGGCTTTTTGAAGCTAATCAACAGGTAGCTTAATGTTCTTCCTTGGAAAGGCTGTTTGAGAAGAGCTGTTTGCTCCCTCTCCCTCCCCCTCACCACTCTCTGCTAAGTACAAATTCCCCCCTCCCCTCTGCCTTGATGAGAGGTGTCTGTGTATTAGCCAGCAGACCACATGCTGGATCTGTGCTGAATCAACAGATAGCTGGCAATGTCTCTCTGTTTTCTTAATGAGGCAATAAACACTGAGATAAGGGTGATAAACACTGTTATCAGCCCCCCCGCCCGCCTCCGGCTTGCTTGCCTGTCAGTTTGCTGCAGACAGTAGGGGTATGTGAAACAGGCCCTATTCAATTTGGATTCAGATTCAGCCTGAATCGGGGACAGTGATTAGATTTGTTGATTCGGATCACTGTCCTCGATTCAATTCAGTGGAATCCAAAGATTCGATGATGATTCAGAGATAGACACAGCTTTAAATGTTTTTTCTACATACCTGAAGGTACCAGGTGTGGCTCGTGAATGCTGCGATGCTGGGGCACATGAAGCATCCCACAGGAGTGCAGGGGGTGCCCCCCACACGCCCAGCGGCAAACCCGGAAGTGGACCGGAAATAGTTCCGGTCCATTTCCGGGTCCACTGAGGAGTGTACTGTGCCCCACCCCCATGTCTCCCCAGCTCAGCGATCACCTGCGGGGGGACCCCAGGTGCCCCCTAGACCCAGGAGGTACCAGTTGCCAAGCCAGGGAGGTGCAGGGTGACCCCCCAACACGCTCTCCAGTGGACCCGGAAGTGACCGGAAGTGCTTCTGGTCCACTTCCGGGTCTTCTGCCGAACACACTGGGAGTTTCCCATGTTTCTGTGGGATGCTCCATCCGCGCCACCATCACAGCATTCACAAGCTGTCTGGTACCTAGAGGTGTGTAGAAAAAACATTTAAGTTATCTCTATGCCCAAATCACTGAATCTTTCCAAATCGATTCGAAGCATTCTGATACAATTCAGACAGATTAAAGGGTCCTCTGATTTGATTCAGATTCAGAGATTTGGCCACTGAATTGGGTCGATTCTCTTCTGAATCGACTCAGGGACCAAAGCTTCGCACAGCCCTAGCAGACAGTATACAGAAGCAGGGAGAGGAAGTGAAAAGCTCTGTATCCTCAACAGATGCATGCACTGCACACACACCCTTGCCTCAGAGTGCTAGCTCACTACTGCAGGCTGGTAACACCCACACCCCTTGAGTAGTGAACGTGGAAAAGCCTAGGACTGCAGACAGGGTGGGGGTTCACCCCCCCCACTCAGAACACTGCTGCCACCTGGCCATGCCCCCCTCAGTATAGCTCTGTGGAGGGGGAAGGAGGGCTTCTCTAGCACTCCTCCCAGCTTCCAGCCTGAGCTACTGCAGGTATGTGCCTGGTTTTCCTCAGTCCAGAGGGACTGTCTGTATGATTGGAAACCAGTTCAGCCTAGCCAGGTTAAACTAACCTGCAAAGGTTGAATCAATTCAGGCTCAGGCTTTTTGAATGTCTGTCCCTAGCCCAGGAGTTCTGCTTCACACCCCTCCCACCTCCCATAACCCCCCCAATATGTTCCCTCCCTCTATAGTTGGGATAGAAGGAAGCAATGAGGCAGATACGCTGTCTCCACTAGAGTCTTCCTACAAATAGGGAATTCTCTGTCGGCTTTCTCCAGAAGCTTCATGTTATTCTTGTGCTGATAATGTTCTACCATTAACAGACCAGAAAAGCTGCCTTTTTCAGTCCACAGAGTATGAACAGAAGCTTTCATCTAGCACTAGTATATACAAAAAAAAAACATGATTCAGTTTCCATAATAAACCCCGGGCCATTTTTTATTTTTAGTGATTTGAAAATTAGCATGCAAGTTGTCAGTATGGGATGCAATTCGCCAAGAATGCTAAATGGTTTGTCTCAGCTTTAGCATTCTTTCTGAGCATTTCCTTACATTTTTACAGAACATCTGTATTTGTAATGCTCTCACCATTGCAATGTGCATGTAACAAAGCTATTCATAGAATCATAGAAAATTACAGTTGGAAGGGACCTTAGGAGGTCCACCCCCATGCTAAAAGCAGGACTATCCCCAGCTTTTTCATCCTAGCCAAGGATTGGTCTAGCTGGGTCTTAAAAGCCAATAAGGAGCAAAATTCCACAACCTCTCTGGGTAGCCTGTTCCAGTGTTTCATTACCCTCCTAATGAAAATTGTTTTCCTAATATCTAATATTAACTTCCCTTGCTGCAACTTGAGACCATTGCTCCTTGTTCTGTCATCTGCCACCACAAACAGCCTAGCTCCATCCTCTTTGAAACTACCTTCAGGTAGCTGAAGGCTGTTATGAAATACCAGCTCAGTCTTCTCTTCTCGAAACTAAATAAGCCCAGTTCCCTCAGCCTCTCCTCCTAAGTCATGTCCAGTCACCATTTTCATTGCCCTCCTCTGGACTCTCCAACAACCTCCCTATCATGAGGGGCCCAAAACTGGACACACTACTCCAGATGTGGCCTCATCAGTAGCAAGTAAAGGGGAATAAGCACTTCCCTCCTTCTGCTGGCAGCACTCCTACTAATGTAGCCCAGAATGCCATTAGCCTTCTTCACAACAAGGGCACACTATTAGCTCATATCCAGCTTCTTGTCCTCTGTAAGCCCTGAGTCCTTTTCTGAAGAGCTGCTGCTTAGCCAGTCAGTTCTCAGTCTGTACCAATGCATGCAATTGCTCCATCCTAAGTGAAGGACTTTGCACTTGTCTTTATTGAACACCAGGAGATTTCTTTTGGTCCAATCCTCCAATGTGTCTAGGTCTCTCTGAATCCTAACCCTATGCTCCAGCACATCTACTACTCCCCCAAGCTTGGTGTCATCCACAAACTTGCTGAGAGTACACTCCATCCCATCTTCCAGGTCACTGATGAAGATACTGAACAAAACCAGACCCAGCACTGACACCTGGGGCACTCTACTTGTTTCCAGCTACCAACTAGACATCAAGGCAATGCTTACTACTTTTTGAGCCCAATGATAAAGCCATTTATCATAATAGCATTTACTTTCTACCCCATGAATGTCACAGAAGGTGTGAACATAATAGACTTATTGAGGCTCACTTAAAAACATTACGGCTACATCTCATAACTTATAGTCCGTTCATCCAACACATACTTCCTTAGCTTGCTTGCAAGAATGTCATAGGAGATCATATCAGAAAGCTTGCTGAAATCAAGGTATATCACATCCACTATTCTCCTCACATCCACAAAGCCAGTCATCACATCATAGAAAGCAATCAGGTTGGGCAGGCATGAATTGACCCTGGTGAATCCACATGCTGACTGTTCCTAATCACCTTCTCCTCCACGTACTTAAAAATGAATTCCTTGAGGACCTGCTCCATGATTTTTACAGGGACTGAGGTGATGCTAACCAGTTGTAGTTCCCCAGTTGCTCCTTCTTCCTATTGGCTTAGAAATGGTATTTAAAGGTCTGTTTTTGGCGAATTGTCTTATAGGTATACATTTATGCATTATAAGGGGTCAAGATGGGCAGCAGGTTTTAACTGAATTTCTAAAGAGCTTGGGAAACACACACACAGCTTCTCATGGCCCTGGAGGTAGATGGGTTGTCTAGCACAACAAGGCCAAAGTATGGACCCAGTCTGAGAATGAAAGGGGGCTTACCATAACACAAGATTACAACCTTTAAGGCAGACGCGTTGTCTAACACAACAAGGACACAGTCTAGGAAATAGCCTGGGAAGCAAAGGAAGTATGTCCCATAACACAAAATAAGTGACACCAGCAACCAGCCCTCAGAGAGCAGGGGGGCCTAAATCTCAGTTTTGGGGGAACACACCAAATTAGGAGAAGGCCCAGAAGGCTACGTGGAAGTGTGACCACAAAGACACAGCCAACCAGAAATAGCCACAGATGGAGAGTCATCAGGGGTCATCAAGGGGAAGGAGAATACAAAAGCAGAGACTTGAGTGTAACAAAGGGTCCCTCCCTTTGTCTTATC